ATATGTATTGTTATTAAATGTAATATTCTGAACATGAAAATTAAAATACTGGGATTTTATATCTCGATATAGAATTAGATCTCGGATGCTTTTTAGGAGTATGTTTGTCTCTACTTTGTTATTTAAAGTTTCGAAAAATAATTTTAATAAGAGATTTTTCCATCCCTTTTTTCGGTTTATGTATGTATTTATTTAAATTGTTCAACAATGTATTGTATGTACATCCGCAAGATGCTGGTACGGTTAATCCCATCGCTGCACTTTCGTCGGTAATATCACCGTTTGGTAGACGATGGCCCTTTATCGGCCCTGGGACGCTGCGACAATCGTTTCTCGAATCGTATGCCGCTGACGGTGAACGACACCGCGATCAGAGACGCTTCTCTCTGCCGCGACGCTCTCGATGATCTCGTAATTATCGACCGTATCGCAGCCTCCGTTAGCCGCACGATCATTTAATAATAAGACAGACTGCACTCTCTCCATAAATTAACTCCAGTCAATCTACGACCGTATCTAAAATCTGTAGAGCGTCAAATTTTACATAGACACATGCAGAATTAAAAGCAAAGTTCCAACATAAATTCTTTTGTCTAAATGTCATTCGGTCAAAGCTATCAACGGGTATACCGAGGTGCGAAGGGTGACTTATGAATCTCTCGAGCGTCGTGTTTACAAAGCAGAAAAGATTTTACCGAGATAGAAAAATCCAAGGGTCAGATATTTTCGGCGACACGTTAGAGAGCCGAATATCAGCGGTGACCGGAAGCCGCGGCGCGATTTCTTTGTGCCTAGAATCGGAAGTCACGGGGGCGTGAATTTTAATATCATTCGTGCGTGCGGGGACAAGAAGGAAACGCCTCTTTCGCGCGAAAGGAATTCCTCACGCGAATTCTTCGCGACATACGGAGAAAATCATATGGCACGCTTCGGCAAATCCTAATATCTCGTCGTACGCGTGTCCCTTTTATGCCCTCGCGGTATTTCGTCTTCGAGATCCGCGGGAAACCGACGCGACGGTAATGCCACGTCGACCGCGCGAAACGAACGCGATTTCACGCTGGACGAATCGCGATTTTATTGTGGAATCCGCAAGCGAACCGAGTATTTCCAAATCTCTTTACGGTAACACCGTGTGCGAAATATTATCGGTAATATAAAACATGATACACTCTATGTAATACGTAAATATGTTTTGTTGCAAGAAGTGAGTATTTTATTTTTATTCAGCGTCTAAATGCTGAAACACGCGCGTTTTCTGCAGGACGTAGAAATCGAGCGTAAAATCGTCAGACTTGAGAAAACCGAAATTATCGTAGATTCAACACGCTCAGCTTCAAGGGAAATGCAATCTGGTGAATTAAAAGAAAGAAAAAGGGATAAAAAAAATTTCCTCGGATAAAAATTTCACGCCCGCGCGATTGGAATCGTCGCCGTGCCGGAAAAGGTTTGATATATTTCCAGTTCTGGAGGTACGAGGGTTAAGGTCATTAATGATTAAAACGAGACCGTGCGGAGGTGATGGTTGGCGGAGCACACAGATAACCGTTTCGTAATTTGTTAACGCGCGCGCAAAGTCTAACCACCGGGCGCGGCGCGAAATATAATAATTTTAATTTGCACCTTGTGCACACGCCTTCCTTCCCCCCCCCCTCCTTCCCATTTTATGCTTGCCTAATGACGTTCGTCGTTGTAATTATTCGACGGAGCGCCGTGGTCGCTAACATATAATTAAAAGAAAGTGAACGCGCGAATTATATCAGGACGATGATACGAATCCTCTCCTTCTCTTTGCGCGAAGATGAGCTTCGTTAAATCTTAATTCGTAATCATTCCTGCTTTTCAAAATATAACCAGTAAAATTTTCTATATCTAACATCAGTGTATTTAAATTTTTGCGAGTACGTTCGAAATCCCGATTTTTCAAAAAATCACAACTTTTAGCGTGTGTGAAGTTAGCACCCCAATATTAAAATTTTATAGTTCTGACGATTAGAATTCCTGTTTCATTTTGAAGAGACGAAAAGTTCTTTATAGTTTATAACAAGGATTCTAAAGAGCTTTTAATTTAAATTTAAAAAATAGGTTGTTAACTTCTTATAAAAATCCATGAATTAAAAATTGCCAAGAAGTAGAACTCTTGTTATAAACTATAGGGAACTACTCTTCGACTCTTCAAAATGAAGCGGAAACTCTAATCAGAATTATGGAATTTTTATGTTTGGATGTTGTGTGAAATTAGCACTCTACAATTTAAAAATTTCATAGTTCTAATTTAGAGTTTCCACCCTCTTCATTTCGAAGAGACGAAGATTTCTTTATAATTTACAACAAGACTTCTACTTAATGACAATTTTTAATTCATGAATTTTTATAAAAAGTTAGCACTCCATTTTTTTAAATTTAAATTAAAAATTTAGAACCCTTGATCATACATTACAGTTATTGTGCTGTCAAATTCGAAGTAGCGAGTTACTTTATCTCACGAAGAAAGAACGAGCTTTCTCTTGTCACCTGTTGTGCCGACAAACGATCGGCAAGACAGATTTTTCTCTGGGCTTCGAATTGATGTCACCGTCGCTATAGGTGGCGGCACCACCTTGACACATTAATGGAACTCGAATATTTCGAGGTGTATGTATTGTACCGTGTACGTTACAACGAAAGATCTTCTCTACGATCGATACTAATATCGACGCTTCTTCGACGGATCGAATGCGGGTCCGTTCGTCGTTCCGGCGACTGGCGAAGGGGGCGAGAAAAAAAGAGTACACAAGAAAAGAAATGCGATTCGGCGATGCGCGTCGTCGACGGCGATTGTGTCGTGAGGCTTGCTTCGCCACGAGGAGAGGATTCCGTCGATCGAGTCGAAAGCGTCCGTCCGTCCGTTCGAGAATGAATTCCGGGAGACCCTCGACGAACAATGAGATGTCTGCGGTAGAACTGATACGGCTGGGAAAGCCTCTTACGTTAATACCTCGTGGTCGCCGTTGCTGACAAACATTTTCTTTCCCTTTCATCGGGGGATATCGCGTTCGACCAGTCCAGACCTCCGGCTCGCTCGGAAGAGGTACAGCTGCATACAGATCGGGAAATTCGATGATTGTTACGTTTGAAAACGTTGCGAGTGGCGTGATTGCTTCTAAATCGTTCGAGCTCTTTCTCCTTTTCTCTATTGTTATAATTCGTCGACAGCTCAAATATATTTTGCCTTTATTAATATAAAGGCAAGAATATATTTATGTCTGAAGTTATTCAGATGCAAGGGAGTTTATATTTCTAACGCCAATAGAATCTCTGGCTGTAATTATGCAGCAGCAAAACAAAGAGAGGCACATATCTTTGATATTTAATTGAAATATTCTTCATAATCTTTTCTAGGATGTATTTCATGGTTGAAATGCATTTATAATCAATTCTGTGAAAATATTTGGTGCAGAAATAGACACGCTAACTAAAGGGTCTTGATTCATCTTTCGGTGAGCAATCCGAGAAAGCGTTTCAGCGAGGTATTTTGCTGCAAGTCGGAGTCGACATAGGTCACAAGGAGTCTAGACGCTATCCCTACCCTGCCTATCAGCTATATCAGCGTGGCTTCAGTCCTGGTCAGGACGCAGCCTTGCTTCAGTATGCCTCCAGCAGTGCTATCGAAGCCATCGAAAGCATCCTAGGCACACTCCTTATAATATAACAAAGATTTAGCAGTGTCTGTGGTATCGGATCGATTCACTTTTGTCAAAATCATAATAGATCTTTGTATACTTAACAAATTTGAGAGGGCTGTCTGTGTTAGACTCACCACCACGATGGTACGTATTCGTGATTCTTCTCTTTTGATTCAGGTAAATGTGCAGTGGAGCGAGATGATTGACTATGACAGGTTTTCATTTCATATTTCTGCCTTTGTGTGAGTCCGGATCAAGTTTCCATATTCATTCAAGAGCCTATACCTTCCCTCTCTTGAATGACCCTGTGATATTGATAGCATTATGTCAAAATTATTTCATCGTTAATTATCTTAAGCTGGTGATACAAGTCGATTACGCTTCGTGCATTTTTGTGAACGTATATAGAGAACTCTCATTACATGTGTGATCAAGATTATGTGTGCGCACTGTGTATATTTAAAGTTTTTTTACTGTAGTTTGTGCTGCGATATGCGTTATATTAGTGCAGTGAAAGCAGTTCTTGTGAATTAATTATGTATACAAGGGGTAATATCTCTTACTCAAGTGGATAGTTGTACAGTTTGCTGCTCAGACTGAAGTATGGCCCTATATGAACCCATATTTCAATGCCCTGTCATAACAAAGGAACAGGCCCTACAGGCATAATAGCCTTTTTTCCCCTGATTGCCTTACCTCATAAACCTATTAATATTTTTCCGCTGTGTTAGAGCTCAATTTCAGTTAATAGAGAATATTAAACTCGCAATATGGATTTTAGACATTTGCAGAACTGACGGGTACATTCAGTAGACTGTGTTATAGGTTTTGTCGATCAATACCATACAAATGGTCTGCGCAACAGACCAATCGGGGTTGTGCATATATACATGTACACGCAAAAATGCATCCCTCTGCGCAGCCTGCCTGGAGATGGTCTATAGTTTCTCCGCTATGCTCCACCCTTAAAGTTCCTGACAACAGAAAAAACTCCCTTAGCTGCTTAATTGAGAGATATGACTCACCACAGAGCTCGATCGATCCAGCATCCCCAGATTTCTCTTCTTTGTTAGCGTGTACCAGCTCCGCTCTTCCACAGAAATATGACTGTATTAAAATCAATAATATTTAGAGGACGTAATTCTTATAAATGACTTATTTTGATTTTAATTCCATATATTAAATGAATATACTGTATTATATGTCATTTTTAAATGTGATATATATCCTGACAGAGCTGTTATTTCTACTTGGATACAACTTATATCTTGTCATAAAAATACAAAATGTTGTAATATATGAGATATTATAAAATTTATTTTTTTACTGTTTCAGGTTGGGTCTAACCATGTCCACTAAGAGGCATCGCGGGCAAAAATTAAGCATAGATAATACAATAGCACATGAGGGCCGTAATAGATAGAATGAGTTTATCTCGGCAAAGTTGCTTCAATGAAAACTCTCCTAGGCCGCCAGTGCCAGGTAAAGCAAAATATATTAAAATAGAAGAATAGAAGAAATTTCATGTTTAATGCACATAAAAAGAACTATGTGACTATTAGAGACCATTACATTCATTTAGAAATACAGTGGTAGCTCAAATTAAAAACTTAAAAACAAGATTTTTTTTTAATTATGTGTTAATGGTTAAGAATTTGTCAAATATTTTCAAGATAAATCTCTTTGAAGTTATAATTGTTGATACATATATATATATATATATATATATATATATATATTACTAAGAGAATATACATATTAATATACTGAAATGTATTGTAGCAAGATCCTGCCATGTTTCAGGAGAGGAAACTGGAAGCTATGTTAGCCGGATCCGTCCACAAAGTCCCGCTCTGACACCAAGACGCTCTTCTTTCGCGACGCCGCAAGCCTCCGGCGGTGGTTGCGATGTTTCTGCGCCGTTGGGATTCGAGCCGGAGGGTTGTTGCGGAACCACTACCATGGAGAGCAATTCGCCCCCTGCTTACGCACGGTGGGCGAGAAATCTGCACTCCCTGTTAGAGGATCCGGTTGGTTTAGAGCTGTTCAAGAGGTACCTAAGTCAGGAGGGGCATTTGGATCCGCTCCACTTCTGGTTCGCCTGTGAGGGCCTCAAAGAGCAGAAGGACAGGGAGAAGATGTCGCAATTGGTGAAGCTCATCTACCGGAGGTTTTTTCTCAAGTCGCAGCTAAGCATACCGGAGGATGTGATGAAGGAGGCAGATCGGCGGGTCAAGGAGGGCCGCACCGATCACAAGGTGTTCGACATCGTGCAGCTGGAGGTCGAGCGGCTGATCAACGAGACAACGTATCCCAACTTCCTTCAGTCTGACGTGTACGTGCAGTACGTTCAGTCCTGCCAGAATCCCGATTCCGGCGGTTGTCCGAGCTCGAGTTCAGGTAGTCGCGAGATGTCCATCTCTTGCGGACCGAGTCTGCTGCCCACCGTGCACGAGGACAGCGAGTACGTCGGCACCGGTTGTATACACATGCACAATTCGCACTCGACCGGCGGAACGCCCGGGGAACTGAGATTGACCAAAGATATGCTAATGGCCACCCAGCAGAGTAGAGCGATGGATCTACGACCGAGGCCGGAAGCGTTCGCCGGGTAAATGCGCTTTTCATGAACATTATTGAGTCTTATTAAAGTACCATTCGTTACCTGTATAGTACGCTTCAAATCAGTTCTGCGAATGCCTTAACAAAATGCTGTCGTTTTTGTCTTTTGAAGCTTGATGTGATGAAACTTGCATAATCTAAATTATATTTTAAGTTTACATTTATTACCGAAGCGATTTAAGCAATCGCCAAAAGATAAATTCGCTATTCTCTCCCTCAATAACGGTTTTTTTTTTTTTTTTTTTTTTTTTCATAGTTTGTCCTATATGCAGGATATGCAAAATTTTATTTCTTTTTTTTTTGTTTTGTTTTGTTTGATAGATAACCTAATATTTTTATTTGTCTTATTTAGTTGTCTTATTTTTTGTTTTTGTTTTGCTATTTTGCGTGGCACTTATAGCATTTACTTGCAACATGGGGCTAGTCCGTATCACATGCACGTATCCAGATTGCACGCACAATATTCCTCCTACAACCCAGTATCCAGACAGGATTCCGAGCTTCAGAGTTTGAGCAGTGATGCACGTACCGAAGTGGACAGTGTGTCCCTCACCGACGGATCCGTGTAAGTTGTTGTCTTTCACTTTTCGATTCTACGCAACGTTCTTTGATTTCGGCTCCCGAAATAGAGAGTGGGATTTCTCCGACTTTCATCTTGATTATTAAACTTTTTGAAGTTACATTGTTTAATGTAAACAAACATTGGACTAACATTGATGATACATTTACTGATCTGTATATATTTGTAATTTATCGCCCGTAGCGATGGGACGAGCAGCAGACAGAGGTGCAAGAAGCAATACACCAAGCAATCTAGCAGGGCAATTAAAGAGTCCGCCAATATAAATCGCGAATCCATGGCGCATCATGTCGTCCCACGGACCCAGCGTATAACGTTACCGAAACAGTGGTCAACGGAACAATTCGCGGAAATACTCACGCAGAAATTGAAGATAGTGGCGCGAGAGCAGGAGGCCCACGAGAAACTGGAGAAATGTCTGCATCCGGAAAACGACGCGAAATCGATCGGCAGCGATACGATAGAGACGTACGGAGCACCCAAGACTCTGGGCGACGCGCTGAAGGAAAAATTGTCTATGGAGGAGGACAGCGATCAGGCGATTCTCGACGAGCACGTGTCACGCGTTTGGTCAGATCAGACACCCTCGAGGTCTCCCAACCGACTCTCGCCCGAAAGAAGGCGTCCCGCGCACAATTATCCACGGCCTTACAAACAGAGGAAAGAGAAAGACATGGATTCCACGTTCTCGGTGGACAGCGGTAATATCCACGACTTCCAAGAGGGTAGCGACCTTGTTGGAGCCGGCTCCATGAGCTCACTAGGCTCACACTTGCCCAAATCTAAGTCTGTGCCATCGGATTACGGTGATTTTCTCCACAAGGATTTGCATGTCCAAGGTAAATATGATGAACGACATGGCATATGGTGTGTATTGTGTACGAATTGTTGTGAAATCATCATTGAAATAAAAATGTTTGTCTTGCGCAGGCCACGATCAAAGATTCCGAAGGTCGGACATGGCGAGACGATCAGCCACGAAAAAATCGATGACGGAGTTAACAGATAGTGGGGTAAGTGTAGTCAGCGACGTGCAGCCTTCCGTAAACAAGGATGTTCGTACGATTCGGTTCAAAGAAGTGGACAAGAAGATTGACTTGAAGCACAGTAGTCGTCATAAGAGATATGGCTCGCGTAGCGAGTCCTTGGAAAGGTCGAACAGAGAAACGTGGAGCATGGGGGTGCCCGCTCAACCGTTCGTTGCTGATCCGGGAATGCCACCTCTCACACCACCTCACACGGTGAATAGGAGCAGTTCTTTTCTCCTTTTATCTAACGGAGAGACGTATACGTTACGAATAACTTTGTTATAGGTTATACAATTAGAGGAGACTTGTAGAAGACTACTGGAAGAGAACAAGATGCGCGCTAGTTGCAAGCAACGACACCTCAGCGTTTCGAAGCAGCCGTACGAGTTGGCGTCGCAAAGTCAGCCGTGCGTTCAATCCAATCAGTCCACTTTGAGGAAACCGAAGCAGGACGATTTCACCACTGTTGTGTTCAGTTTCTGTGACGAGCAGTTCCCTTACAGGACAAAAATTCCTGGTCACAACGTCACGTTGAAGCAGTTCAAGGAGTACCTTCCGAAGAAAGGGAGCTATCGGTAATATGCATTGTTATTTATCGGTCAGCCAACCAAGTAATTTCGTAAATTTTATTCTCGTAAATTTCGTTTTTTTTTTTAATTGCAGATACTTTTTCAAAACGGAGTGCGAAGACTTAGACACGAAAGTCATACAAGAGGAGATAACGGACGACGCCGAGATTCTGCCACTGTGGGAGGGTAAAGTGATGGCGCAGGTTAAAGCGCTCGAGTAATAGACTGAATAAAAGAAAAACGAAGCCGAGCGCGAAATGCGCGTATTCTGACCAAGTGCCGCAATAAATATTATTTAAGAGATCCGCCATTAAGCCGGCAAGCCGACACGCGCTCGGTGTTTATAAATATATACATATTAACGCTTGTCACGCGGCCTCTTTCTCATAATTGCCTAAGAAAGTAGTTTTAATTGATGAAAAAGATAAAATATCGAGTCGAGCAATATTGTTTCGCGCGTGTGAACGTTGCGGAAAAATAAGAAATGAACGGCCTCACACACACATACACACACACACACACACACATCAAATTCTGTCGGTCAAATATCGAAGAAGCCCCGTAGGCTTTGTATACATTGTAAGTGCAGTAGCTATTTTCGTTGGGTTTCCGCTCAAATATTTTTTAATCAGATTTAATTGGAAGTGTCATTTCATCGGTTATGTTAAAGTCTCGAACGCTACTTTCTCCAGTGATTTTTTAAGAGTATTTTATCGTATAGGAATCGCACTGTTTCCTATCCTCACTGATAAGGTAAACACCATAAAAATAATATAGATAAACCGAGACAATATGATATAGACATGCAATGTAAATTTGATGGTTGGCACGTGCGAGAGAGAAAGAGAGAGAAAACTAAGAAAATCTCTGTTAAAAAGAGAGAAGAGAATTCGGTTATTGTAATCTCATACGCCGGCCATGTGTCGTGCGACATGTCTATCTGTATATACTATTTCAATAGTATAAATTAAAAAACTATTTGAGCGGAAATCAAATCAGAGCAAGACCCACAGCCGTGCTCATCTTATTTTTCTCAATACGATTTTGATTTTTCATCATATTTTACTCTTCATCATTTATATTATATACTTTTACATTTATCTTCAGGGCAGAGAGAGAAAAGGGAAAAACGGCGTTTTTTTTATTTGAGATTATTTTGTCAACGAATTTACACGGCGGACAGCTCGCGCGACAGCGCTATTGTACATAATTAGTACGTTACGATTTTTGACGACTGCTATGCGTTTTGTCGGTACGGTTTTTGCCAGATGGAATTGTTATAATTTCGCCTGGTGTCATTTTCACGGGACAGTTCGGGCGAGAACGGCAACACAACATCGGAAATATCGAAAACATTGTGACCGACTAAACAATTTCTTCCTCTCGAAGACTTCCCATAGTTCTCCACACGACTGTACAAAGGTCCGCGTAGTTTGATCGCCTTAGTAAAGGTCTGCGTAGGCACTAGACTTACATAGAAGACGATAATTATTACAAACTAGCATCTAAGGAAATATATTACGTATATTTCATGTAAATGCGAGAGAGTCGCATTTTGTCTCGTACACGATATATGTAATATATTTTACATATGCGCGATACAACATGAAATTGTGAAAAGAAATTGTGAATCATGTTTTTTTTTCCTCCGTTGTGCCACTACCGTCACCGTTGCATCAACGTCATCCATTCAATATTGTGAAATAAGCTCACCAAGCGTAGCCTCATCATGGTGTAAAGAATTTCTTTCGGTGTTTCTTTCCACCATGCGTAGCCTAATACACGGGGCGATGTATTTATAGTATATTTGTGTGTCAACACGCAGTGTGCGTTGACATCGGGACGGCAAAACACTGGTGGAGAAAGGAAAAATCATTAGCGTTTAGATTGTAATAACGTTTGTATCAGGTGCGAAAATATGTGCCTTTTTAGTGCAGTAAGGTCGAAATAAGTCTAAGAGAGAAGGTTTAAGAGATATTTATAAATTACAGTACAGGGGCCCACTCCTCATAGGAAAAACATTGTGTCGATTACACAGGCCTGCGAAATTAAGGGTCCTAAAAGAAACGAGTAGCAGAATATTGATTTTCTACATAATCTTGGTCGCTGAATCCGAATCCACCAGCGAAAAATGTCACATTAGGTTTTTGAGATATATGTGGTAATATAAGCCAAAAACAGTTTTTGCCACTTTCAAGGCAAGGTTACTGTGGTTGAACAAATTATGTTTTTAATGTACACTTTATAATTCATCGAATTTCCGATTTTTTTACTACTTTTATTCACAGTACATAATCTCATCGTCGAAAAATTTCTGTCTTGAAATCTTCATAACTCTGCGCAATAAAAATTGTACAGGAATAAACAAAATCGTTATTTAAAGGTAAAAGATATTTATGATGTCGCTAAGAGGATATTCTTTCAGCGGCGCTGGTGGATTTTAACAACAAAAATGACATAGGAAGTCACTATTTTGCCACTTGTTTCTTTTAGGATCTCTAATTTCGCAGGTCTACGTTATTAAATCCCGTTAAAATTATATCCACGTCGATTTATTGGCGAAAATATCAAGTTTTGCTTCCTTTTTTTTTACTCATCCTCGTCTATCGAAATCGTTCTATCAAAATTTGTTCTTTACTTGTCATCTCTATTTATTTCAGGTATAAAAACTTGAATTGTTAAAATTTTAATTTTTACATGCGTTAAATTGTGTGAGGGGACTTAACGTCTCGCGTTAAAATGTTCGATCGTATATATTCCAGGAGTTACAAAATGACAATGAAGAAAATCACGTTTTTTTTAAATTGATGTATAGCGTTTGATCTCGAATCGCTCTTAAAGTTTGCTGAACCGCGGAAGTCTGGCAAATTTTTAAAACGGACTTCTATCAAAAATAATTTGGGGATCCCTGGAATATTCTAATAAAGATCACAATAGTATAAAAATGTACCTAATCTATTGTTTCGTCTCTTTGTAATTTGTAAGAGAAAGAAACTGTATAAAAACGAGAGATCTTTTATTGAAGAAAAAAAAAGGAATAAAACTCGAGACTGGAGGGATTAAATTATAACACAATTGTTACATTGTACAATGTAAACTTGAGAAAAAATGTCGGATGGCCCATGATCGATGGTTTGATTTTATAATTTGCCGGAAACTCGCTTCCTACGCGTGATCCCCGTGGGAAAATCGATATATATATATTTAAAAAAAAAAAATAGGAACGACATGTGGACAGTTTATTTGAAAATTCGATCGTGTCTCCGCAAATCGATATATTGAAGGCGACGTGTACGATCGATGACAATTTTTAATTGTACGTAAATGATCATTATCGATTAATATCACGAATGTTAAAGTGTTCCTGTACCTAATTAATTAATAACGATTATTATTGTATATCAAAAATATTGAGAATAATAACGCGATTTTCACTGGATCGAATAAATCACGCTGTTCAAAATCTTGTCCTGCAATCCTGCATCTTTAATAACACGGATAATTACAGTTATGAATTTTTTTACTCATACTACACAAAATACATTAATTTTGTCATAAGTTTCCATCCGTGTTTGATAGTATAAATTAGTAAATTGCACGGAATACTCTCTTCCTTAATCCTCTTAGAACAAAAAATATGAAAGATTCATGAGTTATGATTTTCTTCATAATTAAAAATATTGCTACAAGAATACAAGATTTTTAATTTGAAGAAACTCGTGTGGGATATCAACTTTTTTTATTTACAACATCAGATAAGATTTTCTCAAATGTATTTTAACGCTATACAAAGTTGAATAGTTTAATATACTTTTTTTTTCTTGTTATAAAATCATATCTCATGGAGAGTATTTCTGTTTGTTCTGTCCGTTTTCGCAGAAAACGGATTTATATAAACCACACTTTCTAACAAATATAATAAAAGTAAAATTAAAATACAAATATCGAACACTTTTCTAAGAAAGATGTATCGAGCAAGAAAAACGCATAAATAGTACAAAATTTGTGCGAGTGTTTATGGCCAGAGTTTATGGTAAATCGCCCACGCATATAAATCACATCATTGTGGTACGATATATGAACACAATTCTTTGCTGTATTGACGTTCGTATGAAATTGAGTAGAGACGATAAGGATCGCTCGGTAGAACGGAAATTCATAAACCCCTTCATCGTTAACTATTAATTATGATAACTATAACTTGAAAGATCACTGTGATGGTGGGTAAGCAGGATTGTACGGAGCTTGTTTAGCATACGCCTCATTGTACGGTGGGGGTTGCGGCATTCCTAAAACAAAAAAGAAAAATTAAGTAAAAATAATTATCTAATCAAGAATGCAAAATTCAATATACTGCATATTTGTTTTTTAATATCTTTGATGTTAAATAACACTGAAATTAGAAAAGAATCTTTTGAAGATTTTAAAAATTTTTCTAAAAAGAATCAAGTGAAACGTCTGAGAGAAGTTAAAATATTTTTTTATAGATCTTCATGATGGCTTAGATGTGTGCGGGATGTTCAGCTTGAATGTAAACACCTAAGATGTATACATAGAAATTTTGATCAAGTACCTGTCGAGCCTGTTGGATATGGAACGCTATAGCTTGGAGGTTGGTTGGTGTAGCTTGGTGGAAGATTTGCCTGGGGCTGAATTACTTGCACAACAGGTGCCTGAACTTCTGTAACAAATACTCGTGTAACAAGCACAAAAAGATCCCAAGTGCGTCTTAAGTTTGTCTCAGAGACAGCGAGCAAATTATCAAGAATAAAGCTAACGAAATCAGGATGAAAAACGAGATGTGATATAACTTAATAGAATTATTTCAAACAGATCGTAAATAAAAAAAGCATCTAATCTAATTGATCGAAATTGTTTTTAGGTGTGCTCCTTATTATTCAATAATAGCCTTATTAAACTTTATTATTTCAAAATATGACGATAAATTACGACGAATTAACGTTAAAATCGGGATATATATTAAATAATGTTTAACATTTTATGACAAAATTTATATATATTTTTTAAGCTTCTTATAAATGAGATACATGTTCCTCGTGTAAATTATAATATCTGATAAGCGATCTTGTACGTAGGCGAGTCAAATGCTGAGTTTAATGTTACGTATAGATGCACAAGTGGAAGGAATGTTTATTTGAACACGTTTCATGAAGTGTACTTGGAAGACGCATCAATCGAAAAAAAGGAATAAAAGCAATCTACATACAAAATGTTCCATTTATGTATACGCTAAACATAAATATCATTACATATATATATTATTTTATATATATATTTCTCATGTATGTATGCGCGTTGCTCTCTCAATAATAAAAAAAATTTATAAAATAAAAGCACTAATACCATATTTTTATCACAGATAGATTTGGAACATTTTATATGTGCATTTTAATAAGATATGCTTAATTGTGCGAGGCACAATCAAACAGGTCTACAATCAAAAAAGTATGAAAACGCAGTTCATATAAAAATTTAAGTAGTGTAGGTAGTGTAACGTAGCTTTTCGTACGTATTATTGTATATCTCAGACTGAGTTTCCACTGTGCAAGTTATCTTACATCTAAGGATGACTAAATTCTCCATATAAGAATATAAGAATTCAAACTTAAATCTTCTACAATCTACAAAAATACTCTGTTATAAATACTCTAAGAAAAAAAAAACATGAATATAATGCGGATATTCTTATAAGGAGAAAATAAACTTTCGATATATATGTATAATAGCAAAATATATAAGTACACGTTCCTCACGTGAATTAGCACAATGTCAGGTTACATGTAGGAAGCAAGATACAATTAAATGCTAAATATCTTTTAAACATTGACATACAAATACTCTTCGTAGGAGGAACGGTGTGTCGGAATGGTATTATGCCATGGTTGGTCCTAGAAAGAATGATGACTCTGTTACTGGCCAATTTAGAATTTATCAATACATATACAACTTAATTTTATCAAATAATTTATCTAATGTTTGTAACTGTGATTTTTATCGCAAAGCAAAGTTTTGAAATGTTAAACATTTTAGATTTTAGAAGAATACTTCTATAAAGAAAATTGCCGCTGTCTCTGACACAGACTATTCATATACATCGACACATACATTTGCCCTATGCACAATGAAAATGTTGAAAGTGATGAATTTAATTATCAAAGGATAATTATGTGTGGCAACCCAAGTAATATTAATACACGAAATTTAAGAGAGAAAACGTACTTCCGTAGACGGTGCCTTGACGGCGACGATACCAGGGACAGCAGCTGCAGCAGAGGCAGGATATGCAGCACACTATTACAGCGATAACTATGACCGATCCAATTATCACAGGTATGACGACACCGAATCTGCGAAGAATAGTATACGCTGATTAGAGAAATATCGTGGGTTGTCCTTTTGTTTTAAGCAAATCGCTTTCTCGAATAATTTTATTATTTGCCGTGTTATTTTAACACTCACAAATTATGTAAGAGATCGCGCGTTATTTACAATTAACATATGAAATTGAATATTATTTATTTCGAACACACTGTAGGTTATGCTATGAGTAATTATAATATTTTTACCCAGTTTTTATCGCAAACTCCTCGGCAGTGCAGCAGTATGCGTTGTCGTTAGTCAAATCGATGCAGCAGAAGGTCTTTTCAGGTGAATCTGTCAATCTTGGACATGTAGTTAAAAAGTCGTCGAAAACATTTTTATTGCGTCCATAGGTACAATCTATGCCTAAAAAAGAAAAAAATTAATCACTCTCAAATATATTCCGTATTAAAGACTCCTTTTAAGTACTAGCTATTAAAAAATATTAAGTTGGTAACGAGATGTCATTTTCCAAAAAATTCCGGCTCTCAATTCAGCACTATCTTAATTTTATCTTAAAGCCTGTTTGGTGTCCAATTGTAGAAATATTTAGCTGCAAGAACTACCATCCAAAGCTCGATCCTACTCAAACGCGCCAACGTAATAGCTTAGGAACGTGCGTTATACGGTTTACATTACTGTGCGTAAACACTAAACTATAATGAGTATAATACGTGAGAGAGATTAGATGCACATTTACGATGACGCATTTTATTCCTGGAAAAAAAGGGAGCTCGTTGAGTTTCGCTCAATTTCCGTTCGCCGCTCAAGAAGTTATTTTGCTTTGACTCAATTTTTCATTGAAAAATTCCCCTTCTCCTTTTCCCACCATAGATTAAAAAATTTTTTTTTCTATAAGACAATAAGCTTCTTTGTTTTGTGTCAATCAGTGATACGAAGCGGAAAATGATTGAGAAGTAATATAAATAAAAATTGAAATAAAGTAATCGAAATAAAATAAGAAATAAAAATATAGTACGAATTGGTATCGAAATAAAGTAAGAAATAAAAATAAAGTACGCTGCATATATAAAAAAAAAGTAATGTCTAATTTTTATAATTTTTTACTGCTGTTTCCTACATTTTCTATGCAAATATTTTTTAATAAAAAAAGACGTGACTAAAATAACAGATTCGCAGTACCACGAATTGGATACGGCGTAATGAATACGAACTGGATACACCAAACGTAATCGATCGCAGTGCGATGTTATACGCACATACACGCAGAAAATATGTGAGCGTAAAAAAAAAGACCGAGAGAACCATCTGTCTAATCTAAGCCACCATAGAGATATTATTAAAAGTGGTCAAAGACAAATTTTCGTGACTGTCAAGTGGATCCGAGGATAATTGAAGAACGATGACATTATATCAACCATTTTGGCTATCGAGGATAGAACAATTGTTTTACGTGACTAAATCGTTTTATAATCGGTAGTGAAAAGTTCACATGTTGTTTTTCAATTTTCGCAATTATACGTATACGTACAGCGAACGTTGTGAAAATTAAAAAATACCTGGGGCCTACTTGACAGTCCCCAAGTAACACACGATTGTCACGAGAAGACCAAGATGTCATCTTGACTAACAATAAGATTTGACGAAATTTGTCGTCATGATTCAGTCAAGATGACATCATCTTGACTTTCTCGTGACAATCGTGTGTTACTTGAGTCACGAAAATTTTCCTTTGGTCCGCCGTCTTTTTAATAATACCTTGTCGATGTCTAACAATAAACCAACATTGGTTCAACCAACGTGCATTTATCCTAAATAATAATTGCGATATCTATATTATATATAGGGTGTAATTGATAGCTCTTATCACGAGAGAGAGGAATCAATCGATTGAACCATGACGCACATTAATCGATATTACGAAAATTGATAACACACGACGTGAACGTTCTGATCGCCGCTGTAAACAGTCAATTGCCAGACAATAGATCGGGTTTCACAAGAAGTCGATAATCGAGCAAAATCGGACAGCGAAATTAAGAAGCAGCGTTGTCCTATCAACAGGAACTTGCCTACAGGAAACATTTGTCGTCTGCATAACTTTTCGAACTTATCTTATCTCACTTTCGTGGAAGTCCGCCAAATAAATAGAGATCACTACTCTCAACAAATAATGACGTTCCATATAAAGTAGCACTATAATCACTATATATTTTTAGAAGCATAGGAAAATGACGTAATCGCTTTAAAAAGATATAAATCTAAATCTATTTAATTAAAATTATCTAAAAAGAATGAAAAAACGCACACAGTAAAATGTATAATTAAAAAAAAACTTTATGTAATTGACATCGCGTTTTGTTTACCACAAAGTTTCTAACAAAATTTAATACAATTTGCCGAGCTAACAAGTTGATATGTTTAAAAATTTTATCAATTTCCTTTTCGTCTTAACATACAGCACTTGCAAGCGATTAGATTTCATGAGACTCGCGAAAATGATACAGAGAAAACGGATATGATACAGAGACGCAAACTTGCTCAGAGATTACTGCATCTTACTTCATAAGCTAATCTTTATAATATTCGTAGCACATTCATAATACTTTACATTTTAATAATTAACCAAGTACATTACATATATAAAACCGCAATTTGTCTAATTTATAAAATTATGAATAAAGTGTCGCAAATTCAGCGGAAAGTTTTTCCTCTCTAACGTCCAAGCATGTGGGAATGCTGAATAATTTTGATCAAATTCCGATTAATTTAATCAATAATTAATAATTAATTTATCAATATCTGCATTATTTTGTTATCATGGGTAGAATTATTTTTTTGTTTAATGTATAGAAGAAAAGATTAAACATTAAGAAAATAACGAACTATATATATAGTTAAAAAATGTTGCTATGATTCTGCCGGTTGAATCAACTACCGGTTGAATCAACTTGCAATGCAGCTCGAGATCGAAGTCATCTTTATTACTGGCAAATCTGACTGTCACGAAAAAGCGTCAAATTTTCGATCACGCGTAAAAGAAATTTTCAGCTTCAGCGTCAATAGAAAGCTTATTATTCCGCAGTGACGAAAGTAAGAACCAATAAAACGCAGGTAAGAATCAAATTCCAAGGCAACCAGGTAAACAAGTCGCGGTTTCTCGATGCTCGGAAAGCCAGATAAGAAACGATTATCGATTGTACGTACACGTTGTGTATTGACGTAGAAAAAAACGTATCGTTACGCAACCAAGAGCGAATCTTCTACTATACGCGGGGGGGTGTCATTAATCATTCTCCTGATATATTGCCCCCGATAAGTGCCTAAACGCTTTGGACCGAGGCATTAACGACCCTACGTACATACATGTGGATATACGCTCCCCTCCTTCCCTGCCATGCGAATAAAATCGCACATTCGACTGATCCGCGGGACGATCTCATTTCTCTTACCATAAACACCGGATCCCACGTGAAGACAAATCAGCAGCAACGCTACCGCGAGACGTGACATTTTGACCCTGTTTCCTTTCAACAAACTTGCACGATGGTTGGACAATGCGATCGGCTGTGTGACGACACTGACGACTGTACGTAGCCCGAACGACGAATCTCGGACAGCTACAGGCAACCGCAGACAACTACCTGCTAACCGCGCGCCGCGACACCCGCCCGCCGCGACCACTGCGTTCCGACGTGACAATAGACGTGAGAAGTGACTACAGCCTGTTTTCGATGTTCCCAGAACGCAAGTGAGGGGGGGGGATACAAACACGCCGCATTAGTTGCGTTCGACAAAAAAGCGCGATGATCGAGAAAGCCGATCCTTGTTTCGCGTGAACAAATTTTTATAACTTACGCCGTTCCTCTCAAATATTTTTAGATACTTAAAAATTACGGTACACAGATTGACAAATATAATTATGGATTACGAAGATTAAAAATACTGATTTTATACAAGCGTTATACATATAAATTAATTCTAGGGAAATAAACTTGGATAGTTGAATACCCCAGACGCGTAAGTTTGCCTAGTTGTATCCCCGATATCGTATAGCGCCAAAAATGAAAATAGAATTGGAGTGCGAAATAGACGGAAGTATTGTCGTTGCTATTTTAAATCAAATTAAGTTTTAAAATCAGTGGTAACAAAATCTTCGTAACAGTTTATTATAAAATTCTTTCAATTTCAATATATAAAAAGTTGATTGTATCACTTTTTGCCAACATTATTTATATTCGATTATAAATTGATCGGTGATGCATATCTGTGAAATTAATAATAAGTAAAAATAATGTGTAACGCGATATCGAACGGCTTCTACTGACCGCCGGCAGAACACAGGAGCGAGATCGAAAAACGCAACATGTCGAACACATAATATACAACCATTAAATTAAAGAAATTGTAATGTAAGCCCCTTTTCCCTTTGCTTGCGGTTTTTTTATATAACTATTAATATGACGTAACAACAAAAATAACAAATATATAATATAAACAATAATAAAATTATATATATAAAAACCCAAAAATATAAAAAAAATATTTAAAAAAATCTCAGTGAAAAATGCAAAGGTAAACGCATTAATTAACTGAAATATCAATGTGTCGAATCTTCGTTGATGAGATCGCCAATGATGTGTCCCAGGTCCACGTCATCTTTCAACACAAACGAATGTTGAAAGCCACGCCGACATAACTGAGCATTCAGATCAGGATGTCTCGACATCATGTTGTTGTAATATTTTACTGGAGCCCAGCCGTCGCTGGCACCATAATACAGCCAAAGTTTATCGGCGTGTTTCGATATAGTCTCATGATCAGCTTCCTTGACATATTTCATCTCTTCCTTGGCGAGATTGATTATTTTACGCAAAGCTCTCGGATCCAGCATTTCTCGAACCGCCCTGACGGATCTGGCTGGGATGCCATAAAACATACCGAAAGTACGTATCATAAACGTTTGTAGAGTTACTGGAAACATTGCCGTGAAGATCCAAGACAGGAAAACTAAAATTGGCGCCGTACGTGACAACTGAGAAAAGAAATATAATTGTTAGAACCGTGGAAGATAATTGCAATTTATAATATTTTACAAGCACGATAAATATAACGTAAAAACGTACAAAAGTGTTAAAGAACATTCCGTTACGAGTCTCCGCCATGTATTCTATCGTGGGGAACAGCAGATAGCATCTCCGTATCCTTCTATCAATGTCGTTGTCCTTCAGTAAATTGAGTACAAACCAGGCACCTATGGAATGTCCAATGATATGTAAATGCGCATCCTCTGGTACGTATTTTTTTATGAATTCAGCCTGCAAACATAAAATTATATAGCCATGCCACATTATTATGAGAGCTCGGGAGATTAATATAGAAAATGCTTGAAGGCTAATAGAGTACCTTGTGTTGAACCTGCGCTGTCAGACTGTAGCACTCGGCCCACTTGTGATCACCGGGCATAGCGATGTCCAGGTTCTCCGGTGGTTGAACATGTCCAGCGTGTCCGATGACCCACACAGGTGTGTCCGGCGCTAATCTCGAATTGAGCGCCTTGATGAAGCCCTCGTAAAATCGCGGAACACCTGGATTCCCGGGAATGACGAGGATTATGTTCTTGCTGGAATGTGGCAGGGGATCCTCCTCGATCCAACGGCCTTCCGATATCACCTCGGTCTGCACCTGGTTGCAGTTGATCATAGCTCGACGCATTTTTCACCTTGAAGTTGCAAAGCACCAAAATATTGATACAAATATTTGTCACAGCTGTGCTAACAGTTGCTACTTTCCACGTTATTGGCGTTATCGTTTGACATGTCCGGCACACAAGACCGAGACGAGTAAAGGTTGATCACGATTCGTCCAACGGACGCAACGGTACATAATTACGTGGTGGCATGCGATATCACAACTAAAGTGGAACGACACGATTATCCGTGCGAGCCGAAATAGCTCAGTTGGGAGAGCGTTAGACTGAAGATCTAAATGTCCCCGGTTCAATCCCGGGTTTCGGCAAAACTTTTTTTTTCTTAATTTCATATTATCAATTAATAAATTGGAAAATCGATTTAATTTTATTTAATTTTTATTTTTTTTTTGTAATTTACAAAGATTTAAAAATATGCTGTTGTTTATCGAGAGCGTCTTAATTATTTGAGATCACGTCACGATTGATTACAGCCACTCACAACGACCAATGCTCGAAGTTTTTCCATTGGTTCAACCAATCAAAGAATTTTATATTAATTTGACAACGTGAACTCAATTAACGTGACGTGAACAATCGGGTCGCCCACTTTTCATTGCGTGCTTCTATTGTTGCAAGTGAACATGAGCATAATTTTATATACACTGCTAATATATGTATGTATAATCATTTGTTGAGATTATCTATTTTATATAATTTATGGTAATTTGCTACAATTTCATTGTTGGACATTCACTTTGTTGAATTAGTTTTGATAATGAAATGTATTATTTAATGTTTTATACTTTTCCAAACGTGTTTTCTTACATCGATAATTTTTTCCATGAAATTTTTGAATAAAGCAACAGAGGACTCTGCCAGTGATGCTTTTGAAATTGCACTGAGAATGGAAGTCAATTTTTAAATTCTACTTGAAAACGTCATAATTCATTAAATTATATATATAGTACAAAAATATTGATTGATACATTAAAATATCATCCATTCAATTAAATATATTGAAATATTTTAATTCAATACGAAGAATTTACTCTTGCACACGCACAGTCCGAGAAATATGAAGACATTTAAGATCGGAACATCCGAAAGAATTCCCAAAATTGTGAAGATGCACACACACAAATATATTCATTTAAGAAATTCGAAATTCTTGAAAAAAAAAAAAAACAAATAGAGATCTTAACATTTTAATACTTTAATTTTCTTAGATATACGTGTTGGAAATAAGTCTCAAATATTGTCAGAAAGTCGAGACATCACAGGATGTCCAGAGACACAGTCAATAGATTATTTGTCGGTTATTCGCGGGCCGATCGCTTCCCAGATTCGTTGACAGCGGTGTCAGTGACCGGCGTCGCTGATCATTCGCGCGACGTCCGGTTGCACGGAAAACGATGAGGAATAGAAGAGAGAGAATAGCCGGCGCCGTGGCGCGGCCAGCCGCCACGACCGCGTCCCGAAAGCCCGTGCTTTCCATCGGAAAAGTATGGCGGCGGTAATTCGAACGCGCGTCATACAGTCCCGCGAGTGGAGGCGCACGCGTCATGGCGTTTGATCGCGCGCTCGCGAGGCGGGGCGATCGGCAACGCTCGCGTGTGTATGCGGGCATGCACGCAAAAAGCGTACGGGCCTGCCTCGTTATCGGGGCGTGGAGCGCGAAAGCAGAAGGGGGACGGGGGGGAGTCGCCGACGGGCGGGCCGCCCCGTAACCCGTTCCGCGGGAAGACGCCATGCTGACGCGCACGCGACATCCGCGTTAATCGGATGATCGTTCTTCCGCGTCGTGTTCCTTACGCGCGGCAAGACCCAGGGAGCCTTCGGGGGCCCCGGCCCCCGTTGCGACAACGGACGGTGATAGGCCTGACCGTTGCCAAAACGAATATCTCGCTGGGAGCCAAGAGTTGATGAATGAAATGAGTCGTAGAATCCCAGATCCGCGTCAGGTCAGGTTAGATTAGATTGGGTTGGACCGTATTGCCGCCCGGATACAAATCTGCAAAATGACTGTCGTCGTTTGTTCCATTCTTATCAAATGCATTTGTGAGTGATTCGACGAAATGCTAGATGACAGATCTTCCTTATATCGTGTAAAAACGTATAATTGAAGTTTCAACAATATCGTTCGCTACAGAACAATCTACAGAAAATGTTACATGATAAAACACAGATAGCCTGTATACAATAAGACTGACTAAATCTATTTACAGAAAATGTTACGTGATAAAACAAAGATTGCCTGTATACAATAAGACTGACCAAATCTACCTATATATTAATTGTAAGTTGTCGACAAATTGTTAAACTTTTCCTTTAAATTATGTCAAATCACGAAATATTTTAAAAAGTGTTCATTACTTTTAATCAATTTACATTTATTTCACTAATAGCATATAATACAATATACTTAATATCTGTCGATTAAGATTTATTCATCACATGTTAAAAATCACAAATAAAACTGCAGTGCATATAAAACTGTGTATATTGGCATAGATTGTTTAAGATAGAAACGTGGAAAATCGGTATGCAAATTATTATAAAATACAAAGAATTTAATTACAATTCTGGCAGGTTAATAAGATAGTCTTTTCGATGTGAAAGGATAATTCTTTGATTCCCAGCACAAAATTACAAAAAATTACAGAAATCAAATATTCGATATTTTCTATCTGTCACTCTGTTATTGCCCTGTAATGATAGTAATATCTTAACAAGAGGAATGGAATGTGAAATTTGTCAAGTTAATACGACATTTAATGAAGTATGTTTGCACGAGCTCGTTTTGTAAACGCATCTGTAGATGAACGGATGCGAGAAACTCGATCGATGAATAAATTATGAATCAAATAAAATGTATCAACATAAGGCGATAATTAGTGATAGCATGAATCATTTTGAATATGTGTCATAATCGTATATTTATAGAATCGAAGGAGCTTCTCTTTTTAATAAGAGATCGTACTTTCTTTACTGACGTAGTTCATATAAATTAGAGGAGAATCAGCTGATTGGCCAGATAATTTAGTTATTACATCGTTAATAATTTTCCTGGTACTATTAAAGGAATCAATTGTCTATCAATTGTGTAAAGTAATCCGAGAAGAATGCAATTATTTCCCGATCGATCGGAAGTGGAAGTTGAAGTTTCTACAAAAACATGGCAATTATCTGCAGCAGATTTGCTGACTGTCCCCCTGCTCATTATTGGCGAGAAATTTTCGTACAATCAATTTACGCCAATGAAATTTCAATCTGACATCGCCGTAAGGTCGTAAGACGGCAGCCGAGAAAAAGAGGAGGTGCCGACCTTCGGGGATGGGGGCGTGCTCGTCGAACACGGGGCGTTGCTTCCCAGACGAGGCGGTGCGCGCTCGCCCCGTTCTGGTCGTTCTGGGCGAGCTGCGGCGGGGCCACGGTCGTCCAAGCCCACGATCCGCAGTCACAATTCGGTCGTTCAGCGGTATGGACGTTACACCGCTTTTGTGTCGCGTGTAAATTTCAACTACCGGAAGTGCGATTCGGCATCTCCGGCACGAACACTCGAGCCTGTCTCGTCCCGTTTACTTGGGGTGCTCGTCGGATGCGCTGGTTCGCGGTGCCGGCGACCGTCTGAAATCAATTCGGAGCGCGCTCGGACCAAGCCGTTAAGGAAACCGCTTGTTCGGCTTGTTACTCCGATAATTGCGGAGCACGGTGAAACTGTCGTTACACGACGCGGTAGCAACTGTGCCCGTGGTGTTGCTCCCTGAGAACGTTCTTCCCGAAAGAATCCGCTCGGTTAGGCGCGACTTTAAAGCTCTACGCCCGGCCGGCGCGGCGCCTGTATTAAAGGGAGATATGCTCGAAGCAGCGACGGCGATCGACTGACAGCCGCGCTCCGCTGGAATTGGAGCCTCGTTCCCGAGCGGACTGGCGGCCTACGCTGGTGTGGATATCGTAATATCGTCGTCCGGTGACGAGATGCGAAGTCACCGGGACGAATCCATGTAAATTGTAATCGAAGGAGCGAGTCTTCGAGGAGGAGGTCTGGGTGCGAAATGTAGCTTGTGCGAAAGGTCTTCCGCGAAGGGAAGACGGCGATCGCGGTTTGTTGATTCTCCCCGAGGATCAACCCCATGTACGCTGCTCTCTCTCTTTCGTGCCTCGCGTTTGTTCGTTCGCCGTGAGTGGTGAAGCCCGGTGCAACGTGTGACATCCCGGAGGTTCGCCGAGTTTCTACCCGACGCTCTCAGAAACAGAAACGTCCGGGAAAGAACGTCCGCGAGACGACGCTTCCGTGATGTGTCTGTGAATTTGGATATCGGAAAAAGGACACCGTTTTCCATCGCCAGCCAGGATGACGAACGGCTGTCTGCCGGACGCGTTCGACTAGTCGTCACAGTGGAGTTCTGCTTAATCGCAGGTAAATTCCCGACGGACCGCGCGCGCGCCTAGGTTTCTTTGCGTGACGAATGTCTGTCCCCGATGTCTGAACTCGAGATAGGTCTCTGATTTAGGCTTTTTTTTAGAAATATATCGCGTGCACGCAGTACCACCTGCGCAGATTAGGAACTGTAGAAACGTAGGCCGATATAATTAATTAGTCGTCACCGAACAATGGCTCACACTGAACGCGATAAGTGCGCGTGACTTTCATCTCGTTCCTCATCTCCAGACTCTTTTCTAAAGAGTATTCCTTACGGTTAGCTGTTATTATTACAAAACTTTCAGGGGAAAATAGCTTGGGAAAATTGTGCCGAGCGAATTGTTACGTACTGTACGAAGGAAAACTTGCGGTTGGGATCATTTTACTGGGATATCTGATACGCGTAATTATGCGTTTCGTCACAATTATCTTCATTTTCGGGTTTCCCTCGCGTACAGCCAGGAAGATTAAAAAGATTATATACTCTCCTCTGAGGAGTTTGTCTTGCACGAAGACAGCCGTGAATGCACTTTCTCCGTCGTCGGCGACGATCGATAGTGACTACTGCTTCACACTTAGTAGATATTGCTCCGCTTATTAGCTTCCCTTATCTTAAAAGTGGTGCAAACGCAATTTTCTCGGGAAATTTCGTTATTTATTTAAAACGTTCCGATTCTTTTCGAGAGACTCGCAATATTTCAAAACTGTGCCATCTTAAAAATAAATTTACAAAGATTAATCTCTACGGATCGCGTTACTCGTCTTCGAATTCTCTACCTGCGTGGTAAATGTGTAATTTTACATCTGCCCGGTGTGATGTCGACAATTCGCGGCTCGTCGAAGCTCAGCGCGCGCTGGCCTGCAAGTATCAACGAAACGAGCTCCGTCCAACAGCTGCGCGAAACAATTTATTTAAACCCGGCCTAGTGAGCGCGATGTCGCCAAAGAAGCGAGTCAGCCAAGTCTCTCGCTCTCAATCGTTTCCTCTCTTAAATTTTACAATGAACCCCGAATGTTTTACGTGTATAAGCGACGAGATACAGATTCCTAGTTTATTTTGGAATTTCACGACGTGTGTCCTTTGAGAATTCAGAGTTCTTAAAAAATACCTCCGCAGGAAGGGACAGTTGTCGAAGGAAATCTGGGAGGGACTTTTACGGGGAGATTTTAAACGCGACGTCGTGGAACAATGGAGCAGCGAACAGCGGCGGCGTAAGAATAGAAGGTTAGAACGAGAGAGAGCGAGAGAGAGAGAGAGAGAGAGAGAGAGAGAGAGAGATGAATAGATGAGATACATTTACCCTGTCCGGGAGTAAGTCCCTCGAGGCCGGTTGAAGAGTACACGCAGCAGTAACGTAACTTTTTCGCGAACTGCAAAAGATTTTCGTAAGTGAGATTTCGAGAAATTTGACGCACACGCGTAAAACAATGCGCGTAAAGTTCTCTCGGAGCGAAAACTTGATATAAAATAATCCGAGCTACTACGAAAATTCCAAAGTGAGTTACGTAAGTCGGGAAGCGAGTCGATATATGAATGAGATCGGCGATGCGGTCATACCGATAACGCAGTATCGCGTATATAAGCGAAGGAGAACGCATTCGCGGTGAATGCTGTTGCACGACACACCAACTAGTTGTAAACAATTCAGTTGCGCTAACAATCATGTTATGCTAATCTTCGGGTAATCATTCGTCTTTATCGCGCATATCGAGCACATAATCTAATTAAAAAATTCATATCTAGCGAATAAGTATATTTGAGTTGATTCTTTTTTTATTATTATTTTTTTTTAATCAAATGGAATACTTAATCAACCTATTCCACATTCATTCTACATTAATTCCACATTCACATCAATATAGCATTCAGTCGATTTAATCCACGTTTGTCGATACCGATAAACTGTAGCGAGATAAAATGAGCATATTGTAAACGATTTGTCGCGATGAAATGTCGTTGTAATTTGGCATAGTACGAATTTCTAGTATAAGATTATATTACAGATTTCTAGTATAAGATTATATTACAGATCGACGAGTGACAGGAATCGAAATTAAGCAAAGCGACTGACATCACGCTTGGGTGTCGCATAGAAAAATCGGATACAGAAAGGGGAAAAGATGGGAGAAGGAGGCCTCAGCTCTCGTGATCCCGTGGCGATCCGTTCGCCCGCGATCGGAGGTAAAAATGCCGCGCGTCGTGAAAAATTTTGCGGCACGAGAAAGAAGCGGCAAAAGTTCAAGCGGAGGAGGGGGAGGGAGGGGGAGAGGGATGCGAGGAAAGGGGGGAGAGGAAGGTAAGCGAAAACAGCAACACGTGACCGTTGTGTGAGTGAAGCAAACGGAGTGAAACAAACGGGGAAGACGTCGCTCGCATCAACGCGTCTCTCCTTCATCTTCAGAGATGCGTTTTCCATTCTTCCGATCTGACGTGAATTTATTTACCAAGACTTCCTTCCTTATCAGACTGCGTAAATCTGACGGATGGGAAATACGGGGCTGTTTTCTCTTCGGGAACAGTTTCGAAGGCGGGATAAGGGCCGAGGAATGTTGGACAGAGGCGGGTAAATATGTGGGACACCGTCATTTTCGTCCATCTGGCGCTGCACAATTTCGCGGGAACACACAGACGAATGACCACCTTCGTCCGCGCCTAAAAGATTGCCCCAGTAGGCTATACTTTGACCTGAACCTAATTCCAGCCTTGTACTGGTGTCTTTTTAGGAATCTAATCGATATATCCGACGCGTGTTTCATTTTTACTTCTCGCTTCAGATAAAGTACCCATTCTTAATTCAATGCGTTAACGCTTGTAACGTGGGATAGGGCAACTTTCTATCTTATTTATAATACGAGACAAAGCGAAAATTGATCGCCGATTATAATGAAATAATTCTTGTCTCTCGCGTCTACAATGCTCGATATAATTCACGAGATATATCGTGTTTCGCAAACTGCATGTATATGTATATCCGTCGGCAAGCCTCGACGACGAACTTCCGCAAGCTGCAAGCTTCGAGGAGACGACTTTCTTTAAAAGGAATACCTGTCTCTCACAATTGTCCTAACGGAAGATGAATCTTAACCAGAGAATAATCGTGTCGTGTTTTATAGCATAATGTGTAAAATACTCTCCGTTGATATATAAATAAAATAAAAAAATGTTATAATCTCTGTTTGTACAAAACACTGTATAAAGAAAATTCTTATATTTTTAAAAATTGTATCTCATATTTTTTTATCACTACATCTCACTCTTGGATGAGCAACAATAATAGCATTGACTGTTGCGTAATTTTCATGATAGCTTCAATATAAAATCTTTTTATATGGAACAATTAATTATTGTCAATAACGTAAACATCCGGAAAAACTCGGTATCTACTGACAATGAGTATATCTCTGTTGCGAGAGATTTTGTATGGGATTATCGTAAAAATATTAGATACGAGAGATAAACGAGCTATTTTCTTTTTCTCCGGTGTCAAGGGTATTCCAACGATAATTCGATCTGTTTAGTTAAATGCAAAACACAATTTATTCGACGAGTTCGAGAGAAATAACGTCTCGTTTTCAGCCACCGGCGATACAAATCACATTCGATCGCTTCCGGTTTACGCTGATCGTTGCGCAGTATCAATAATTTATTAATCACAGATAACACGTTGTGTTGTATAGACCAAGGAATTTTTGCTCGGCATGCATCGGCCTCCATATTTGCATGATTACATTTAATGCGATTTTAATGTTAAACCGGTGAATTTCTGAACTGCGGTCGATTCGTATTTAGCGTTTGTTTCCCTGTTAACTAAGCGGTGAGCGTAAGTGCGTATATACAGGTCGCACAAATCTCAGGCTAGACACCTCGTAAATAAATATTAATAAAGCATCGGGGGATACAAGTGGATCTATATGTCTTTACACCTCATAATGATCACACAACTATTTGCATCAGTAGTTACAACAGGAAAGCCGCAGGAATTCGGCCGAGTAAAGACTGTTTTATGCAAACAAAACAACCGACAACGCGGACAAATAATTCTGGGACACCGTCTGAATTTACGTTACGGAGATTTAAATTCCGTCAATCATTCTCCGATGATTTTAATTGTGGCCAAAACACATTTTATCAATGTGACGAATATCATTGGGCGCGTTCTTGCATAATAATGCCACGCGATTTGCGCAAAAATATACATCAGTCGCGTAAATAATGCGAATGATGAAAATTCGGATGTGATAAAAAGGAATGATATAGGAATTGAAAAAATCTACAGGGCGAAAAAAAAACTGCGAAAAAAAAACTGTGAGCAGCAAAAGAAAGTTCAGATTCGATAAAAGTTCTTACGTGACATGAGAAGATCCATCGTAAATATATTGTTATGCATTTATCGCGAACGCGTTATCGATAAGTATACAGCTGTGATTAGATCGTTGTATTATCTATCCTAACTTTGGCCGACCGTTCCGTTTAACGGATAACCGATGTATGGACACCGTCTACATGAGAATTTTTTCCGCTGGATTTTTCAGAAAAAAAATGTGAAGTCCTAGCATCTCGAAGGCGTACGAGCAAAGTTCAATAAAACGTAAATAAGCAACATAATTTTATCTCAGGTTTTATCAATTTATAGCGAGGCTGAGAATATTATATTTACCAAGGATATTATATTTATATTTTAATGAACTCTCTAATTAATCATCGATATATGCGTGCATTTATCAATAACGTTAGATGCTCGTTTACCTACAAAGGTCACTTTAAATCGCTCCCGTACTTTTTCTACAACACATAGACACGAAGGCTACGAAGAAGCGGGGAAAATGTGGGAAACCGGTTTGTCGCTTTAAGGCAATATTATGCGGTAGAGTCTGACAAAGTTTTTAGACCAAGTGCTTTTCGGCGGAATAACTGTAGGAAATAAATCGTCCTCACGTTGCTCCAAGATTCCCCGAAAATTACAGTTTCTCTGCGTAACAAATTTCCCGAAGAAAAC